GTGTGATAATAATAGTCATAACTCGGAAATTAGAAGCTTGACTATCTTGAATAGATGTAGCTCTTAGATGCACTTTTCCTATATGTGTTTCTTGAGCGCAATTTTTTATTTATTTTTTATTACTTAGGTGTGTGGACGAACTCACAGCCCACCGGATGTTAAATGGTAACGGAGCCCATAGACATCTACAATGCCGCCACCCACCTTGACATACAAGTTCTAAGGTCTCAAGTATAGTTACAACGGCTGCCCCACCCTTCAAACCGAAACGCATTACAGCTTTACAGCAGAAATAGGCAGGGTGGTGGTGTTACATACCCGTGCGGACTCACAAGACGTCCTACCACCAGTAATTAAGCAAATTATAATTTTGCGGGTTTGATTTTTATAACACGATGTTATTCATTCACCGTGGAAATCACTCGTGAACATTTGTTAAGTACGTATTTCATTAGAAAAATTGGTACCCGCCAGCGGGATTTGAACACCGTTGCATCGGTAGATACGAATGCACCGGACGTGTTATCCTTTAGGCCACGACGACTTAATTTTTGACAAATGTTTTCAATAAACAAGACTCAAAAATCTTCAGCGATAGGCAAATCGGTTCGGCTGTATTATTATTGGCTGTTACTGTATCTTTATCATTCGTATAAAATATGTTAGAGTTTGAGCGGTTAATATAATTACAATTCAATATAACACTTAATATTAAATGCCTATTCCGATACTTAGATCGCAGAAATACTTAGTAATTGTATCGGTATTTGTACCGGGTGAGTCAGTCTCACCTATGAGCGTGAAGATAACGTATGAACAAACATACGTTTGCCTTCCCATACCTGATATTTATACAGAGAGAATGACGTGAATTCACTCGGGACTCTGTTACATTCGATGCAAATACAATATGACTAGATATATTTTATACGCTTTTATTAGCTTCAGACGTATGTATGTTTGTAACGGAATCTTTGAACATGATTTTGACCCCCTTCAAAACGTCGGATTAACTCGAAATTTGGTATACTTATTAAGGACAGATAAAAATTCAATATTTAAAAAAATATTGAATGATAAATAAATAATAGTTTAAAAAAACAAGAAAATACGCTTTTATAGAAAATGCAACTAAAAAATTGAAAATAAATTTTAATAAATTTGAATTAAAAATAGTGTAAGAAAATATGATTTTATAGTAAAAAAAAAGAGTGGAACAGCAGTTGAAACAGCGCCCCTAGCAGCAAACATAGGCTAATGTTCCAACTGCATACAAACTTTTTTTCATTCAAACAAATTCGAGTTAACTTTTACGCTATCGAGAACGTTAAAAAACTCGCACTAAGCACACTGTATTCTGAAATGGTGAAGCAATGACTTTACATTACATGCCGAAAGTGAGAACGGTTACATAATTTAAACTGACAATATCCTAAAATTGTCCAATCTTAAAAAAAACAGCATTCACACAATTTCGACGACGTTAGACGAATTAATCTCCCCCCTACTCCCCCATCCTCCCCCTTCCTCCCCCCTCCTCCCGAAATACCTGACGGGGGAGGACACGTACGTTTTAAATATAAGCCAATGTTAAATGAAAGGCGTTTATAACAATGACAAACAATTAGCTTCGCATCTGCTTCGTTAAATGTACACTTGGGATGAGTTTGTACACGAGAGAGTCAGGTTTCTTTTTAATACGCTTTTATTAGCTTCGGACGTATGTAACGGAATCTTTGAACATGATTTTGATCCCCTGCAAAACGTCGGATTAACTCGAAATTTGGTATACTTATTAAGGAACGATGACAATACAAAATTTAAAAAAAAAATTTAAAAAAATTGAGTAATTTGAAATTTAACTAAAAATGTAAAATAAATAACAGTTTAAAAAAACAAAAAAAATACGTAAATTCAATATCATTTATTTCAACTTAGATGTCAGTATATCACACTTGTTGAATGTCAAATATAAATAACAATGTCAACTCTACCACGCTTTTATAGAAAGAAACACGCTTTTATGAACAGATATGAGTAGAAGGGTTATTTTGATAATATCCTCAAAAGCAGTCCACGCTTTTTTTTACAATAAAATAATTTTTTTCTTACACTATTTTTAATTTAAATTTATTAATATTTATTTTCTATTTTTTAGTTAGATTTTCTATAAAAGCGTATTTTGTTAGTTTTTTAAAACTATTATTTTTTAGCTTAATAACATTAAATCGACCGACAGTTCTTCTGTATTTATTCCTAATGCGCTTCAGCCAAATTAACCGGTAATACAAAATATTATCNAATAAAATCATTTTTTCTTACACTATTTTTAATTTAAATTTATTAATATTTATTTTCTATTTTTTAGTTAGATTTTCTATAAAAGCGTATTTTGTTAGTTTTTTAAAACTATTATTTTTTAGCTTAATAACATTAAATCGACCGACAGTTCTTCTGTATTTATTCCTAATGCGCTTCAGCCAAATTAACCGGTAATACAAAATATTATCGATATTATTATACAATGGAGACAATGGTTGTTTATCTTGGAAAATAGAAAAAATAATTAGAAGAGTAAAGAAAATGTTATATGTAAATTCTTAGAATGGTCCTATAGTTTGATAATTCTAAGCTTAAAAGCGGTAAATTTTACCAGTGCTGGTAGATTTCACGGTAATATTAAGATGAGACGACCTTAGTGCTAAGCGGCTTCTGAGATCCGTATATACAATACTGTAAGTATTGCCGCCCATGTTGATACAAAATAATGAATTAACAAATTATTAATCCATTAATTTTCTAAAACGTAACGCAAAATAACTGTTATCGCCTTGTTAGTATGCTAACTCGAAAAGTAATGACCTCATGAGTTTCGTTTGAATTTTTATCAATTGCTTAATTTTGTGGTAACTCGTAATTGTCTGCAAAATTCAAATATTCGAATTACATGGTAATAGTGGATAAACGAAGCTTTAAACATTTGCTTTTAGTAAATGTTTATAAATCTATACATATAAATAAAATTGGAGTGTCTGTTTGTAATATTGAAATAGCCTCTTTTTACTACATGCATACGAATATATTATATACGGTACATACACCAAAATAACATTTTTTACAATTTTTCTATCTGTTTGTTCCGGCTAATCTCTGGAAGGTCTGGACTGATTTTGACGGGACTTTCACTCATAGGTAGCTGATGATATAAGGAGTAACTTAGGCTACTTTTTTTAAACTAGCTTCGCCCCACGGCTTCACCCGCGGTACGACATTAACCGCAGGTAACATCGCGGGACTCGGCTATCAATAATAAAATTTAATGTTTCCGAAGCGAAGCGAGGGTTGGTCGCTAGTAGTAAATATGTTGTGTTGTCTGTATGTGTAGTAGTAGTTACATTGTACGGTGCGTTCTAGAATGTCTTCTTATATTTCAGAGCGCTGAGGAATAGATATATACAAATGTTTGTTGAGAAGGTTTTGTTTTGCGGTCACCAAATCATGTGACCGAAACGAAAACATTCTAACTTGCGAGCTTCATATATTTTCTATGCCCCCGCCTGTGTGTGCCTGAACTTAGCTTTATCTTTCAATTAAACAGCATTTAATTTGACTAGTGGACCAGTAGTCTAATTTTGACTATAATTAATTGCAATTATAAGTTTAAACATTATTATGGTTCTATTGTCAAACACTATTACATTTCGATAATATAATCACAGTATTCGCCAAAACTGCACTATAGATCAATAATATTAAAGATAAACAATATTAATCTATTTTCAATTCGACCACAGACTTTAAACAATAACAAAAGTTTCCCAATTGACAGTAAACAAAGAGTGTATTTTTATGTATGTGTTGTGCCAAATACATGGTAGTGTGTGTAATGTTTTCTTATTGATATAAAGTATGGGTCTGCGGAGGGACTTCGGTTCCCTCTGTATTTTGTACCGCATGTTCCATGGGGAATGCTCTGAGGAATTGTTCGAGATGATACCAACGTCTCGTTTTTACCATCGCACCGCCCGCCACCGGAGTAGAGTTCATCCATACTACCTGGAGCCACTGCGGTCATCCACAGTGCGTTTCCAGAGATCTTTTTTGCTACGTACCACCCGGCTATGGAATGAGCTCCTCTCCACGATGTTTCCCTAGCGCTATGACATGTCCTTCTTCAAACGAGGCTTGTGGAGAGTATTAAGCGGTAGGCAGCGGCTTGGCTCTGCCCTTGGCATTGCTGAAGTCCATGGGCGACGGTAACCACCCACCATCAGGTGGGCCGTATGCTCGTCTGCCTACAAAGGCAATAAAAAAAAAAAACGTTTATGCATTACATATTTAAAAAAAAAAATTTGCATTGTGGACTTCTTCTCTATATTCTCTATAAGTGTGGCAAATTTCATACTCCTCCGTCCGCACAATTTTCGTAAAAAGGCGTACAAAGTTTTTGCTTCACGTATTAATATATAGATATTTTTATGATAGTTGTTGAGGTAAAAAAAATATATGCGTTGCTTCGTTTCTGCATAAACGCATCCGCCCCGTGCTGCCGACTTTGGCGTTTATTTGTTCTTTCAATTTGTCGGTATCACTGTGCCGAGTAATATCATACGTAGCTACTTGGTGTTCCCAATGAATATTGATTTTCAATGCAATCATATGATGATTCACACTTATTACCTACAGCGTAAGTTTCTTGATACTAAAACCGCTTTTATGGTGGAAACTATTATATGGATGTTAAAAGGCAAATAATTGCAGCACGCGCTCTTAGTATGATATTTACTAAAATATAAGTGTCAGCAACTGGGGTTTGACAGCCAGTTGAATAATTAAAAAAATGACATACCAAACAGTGTATTAAGTAGACCGTTTAGTTAAGTTCTGAAATATGGATCACTGGTTGCAAAAACCTCACCACCCTATTATCTATTGATCAATTTGAAACTAATCATCCAGTGCACTTCATAGATGCTAAATTTTTTCTTTTCTTTTTCCAGAGGCACTACAGGAAAAATGGCATCAAAGAAGACGAGACAAGCTGGTACTGGGACCCACCGGCGGAAACGTCAAAATCAAATCCAAATCTCGAAAACCAATATAAGCATCAAATACAGACTCTTCAAGATGAAATATCCTCCTTGAAAGAAAGAGCCACCGTGGACTTGAAGCCGGACAATGAAGAAGAATTAAATAGGCTCAGAGAAGAAAACAAAAACTTGACGGTCAATCTAGAAGATCTGGATAACCAACACCAGATGGCAATGGAAAGGTTACTAACATTAAAGAAAGAACTACAAAAAAATTTTGAAGTTCTTAAACAGGAGCACGAAGAACTAAAAACAAGTAATGATGATTACGCTGCGGAGGTAAAGACGCTGTTAGAAAAAATAGGCGAAAGAGACAAAGAAATCGAAAACCTCAAAGTTAAAAGTGCTGATTCTGAAACATTGTCGCATAAGTATCAGAATTTAGAAAGAATACACAGTCTGCTAAGAGAAAATGCTGAAAAATTTCAAGAAGAGAACCAAGAACTTCATGAAGAGGTATTTAAACTGCAAGAACAAGTGACTAAATTAGAGCATGAAATAGAACTCGCGATAAAGAAAACAGAAAAATCGAATACAGTGCCGAAAGAACAGTACGACGAAGTTATAAAGGAATTGAACGAATTGAAGAACAGAAAGAACTTAGACTTACAATTGGATGAGATCAATATTGACGATAACGCCAAAAGCGTTATTGAAAATTTGAAACGAGAAATCGGTGAACTCAAACATCAATTGAACCAAAGGTCCTCTGGAAACCATGAAACGGAGGAACATAAAACAATAAAAGCCGAGAAATTCATGCAGCTGTACAATAAATATGTAAATTTCGAACTTCCGATAGATTACGTGGGTGAAATACCGTCACCTGGTGACAGTATAGTGCTTTATAAACTTGAAAGTGTTTTAAAAACAGTGAATTCATTCAAAAGAGACATTGATACACTAGAACAAAAATTGTCTGAAAAGAACCTAAATATAAACCATTTGAAAACTCAGATTGATGACTTAACAGCAGAGAACGACTTTCTAACAACAGATATTCAACATTACGAAAGTGAATTAAACGAAATGAAAAAGAATAATGATTTTCTCATATCAGAAATAGCAGTCTTAAAAAACACATCCAAATTAGAACCCATAATAGAGACACATGAAGATAATCTGGCTAAATTAGAAACTGAACTAGCAGATTCAAATAAGCTTAACAAATCGTTTGAATGTGAAATTAAAAGGATTGAAAAAGAACTGGCGGAAGTTCAAGCAGAGAAATTCGTACTACAAGAAACTTTAAATGATCTAAAAGGTAAATATACGGCTATGTTAAATGAGGTGGAAACGCTTCAAAATAAGACTAGNACACATGAAGATAATCTGGCTAAATTAGAAACTGAACTAGCAGATTCAAATAAGCTTAACAAATCGTTTGAATGTGAAATTAAAAGGATTGAAAAAGAACTGGCGGAAGTTCAAGCAGAGAAATTCGTACTACAAGAAACTTTAAATGATCTAAAAGGTAAATATACGGCTATGTTAAATGAGGTGGAAACGCTTCAAAATAAGACTAGAGATGTCGAAGAGCTGGAGAACAGTGCGTGTGTTCAACAAACAGAACAACTTAAAGCAGCTTCTGATGAAATTGATAATCTCAAGAAACTTTTGAACGCAGCAAACGCTAAGAGTGAGCAACTGTCTATAGATGTTCATATAATAGAAAATGACAAGGTTCTACTAATGAAGGAAATAGATGAATTAAAAAAAGATTTAAGAAGAAACATTTCAGAAAATACACAATCTGAAACGAATGAAACATTGTTAAAGAAGGCACTTTCAGACAACGAATCAAAATTAGAAGAATTGTCAAGAAATTTCGCAAAAGTAGAACAAAGTCAATTGCAAGGGGTAGAACTAGTTGGCTTTTTAAAAGAACAGTTACAATTGAAAGATAATCACGTACCCAGAACAGAGTTTGATAAACTAAATGAAGAAAGTAACACTTTGACCGGCCATCTTGAACAAGCTATCAAAGAAAAAACATCTTTAAGTAAAACAATTGAAACTCTCAAACAAGAAATAGAATTGTTAAAACAAAATGAAAGCGAGCTTCTGACTAAAAATGATAATAAAAAAGATCAAGACTTGAATACATTAAAACTGACAATCGAAGACCTTAAGGCTAAGCTTATCCAACAAGAGCTTATGGATATTGAAGTTGAAAGCTTGAAAGTTGAAAACAAAAAACTCAATGAAAGACGAATCCAACTAGAGACAGAACTGTCAAATACCGATTCCAAAATTGTGCATTTAGAAGAAGAATTCGAAAAATTAGTAACAGATTTAAACGACAAGGATACATTGATTGATACACTTAATAATACTGTTGCGCAAAACGCCATTTCACTGGCAAACTTGAGTCAAAATGTAACCGACTTAGAAAACTCGTTATCTAAAAAAAATGAAGAAATACAAAGCCTCAAAAACTCATTAGAAGACGCAACTGTAAAACGTAACAGATTTGACGAAAATGTCAAAGAATTACAAGCGGAAATAAGTAAGTTGAATTTAGAAAAGGAAGAAATATCTAAACAGATTATGATCTTACATGATGAAGTAAATGTGAAGAATGCCCAAATATCCACATTGACTAACCATTTAGGGGAACTTGAAAATTCTGGTCGCGATTACAAGATTTCCATTGAAAACAAAGACAAAGAAATAAAAGAACTGAATCAATCAATAGTCGAACTTACGGACAAAATTAAAACCGTGGACAATAGCACACATCATAATGATGAATACGCTACATTACTTTCAGAGAAGACAGCTCTAGAGAAACAGGTCATTGAACTAAAAAATAATGTGAGCGCGAAAGAAACTGAACTAATTGATTTGAAAGTTGAATACGACCAAATTGAGAAGTCAGTCAATGACTATAAGATTACTGTAGATAAGATAAATTCTGAAAAAGGAGAATTAATTAATTTAGTCAATTTGAAACACAACGAAAGTATACAATACCATAATGAAATTCAAAGGCTTAATCAAGTTCTAATGGAGCAAACCAACGAATACAGAAGATTACTTGAAGAAAAAGATCATTTGATACAAAATGTTTCACAAAATTGTGCGAATTGTGAAAATTTGAAAATAATTCTGAAAGAAAAAGATGATGCAATTGTAAAGCTGAATCAAGCTACGAGCGAATCCCTGAAAATGAGAGCGGAACTGGACAATGCCGGTGAAACTGTCAATAACCTGACTGAGAAATGTGATAATCTGAATAAGAATCTTACAATACAACTTGAAGTCGTCAAGAAATTGACAGCAGAAAATTTACAGGTAATTAATTATATATCTAGTAGATTTATTCTAAGATTTTATTGTTGTTTTTTATATTATTATTTTCTTATAACAATAAATAACGTTCACAATGGGTACGCCCATTGTACGCTCATTGCGATAATCGTAAGACCTACTTGTGATTTATGCAAATCATTGAGCAGTTAGTAGTTTGTCTATTCTCTCTTTCAAAAATGTTCACCGTATAAGATTATGGAGTGGACTTTACCGGTCATCGTTCTCGTCGAACCCGTCCCTTGCGACGAAGGGCTTGGCGAGTAAATTAACCCACAGACACAGCTCACTGAGTTTCTCAGTGGGTCGCGTTTCCGATTCGGTGGTAGATTCTGCGAAGCACTGCTCTTGCTAGGGTTCGTGTTAGCAACATCGTCAGGCTTGAGCCCCGTGAGCTCACCTACTAGCCCGGTGACGCTGATATGATCTTTCTAGACTATCAGCTTAGGTAGTAAAAAAAAAGAGTGGCATTTAACAGTACCAGAACAAAAATGGGTTTGTATTTTATTCTTTGACTGCGAATATCTTTAAAACAATAAAAAATTGTGTAAAACAACTTATATTTAAAACCGGTGCAATCTGTTTAAAATAGGCGAAGAAAAACAGTTGAGTACCATTTTATTTTAAGTAAACTTTGTTTGCTCTAAAACAATTACTCTTTCCTATTATTATATCCCTAATTCTACTTTCTTCGTAAGCTAATCACTAAAACTTTGCTTAGATATGTGGACGAGCTCACAGCCCACCTGGTGTTAAGTGGTTACTGGAGCCCATAGACATTTACAACGTAAATGTGCCACACACCTTGAGATATCAGTTCTAAGGTCTCAAATATAGTTACAACGGCTACCCCGCCCTTCAAACCGAAAAGCATTACTGCTTCACGGCAGAAATATGTCCTCAATCGCTTGCATATTAAAATCCAAAATGCTTCATTTCTTCAAAATTAGTTGTCGGAGAAAGAGCAGAACCTTGCCCGCGAGCTGGACAGGCTCAGGTTGCACCTAGTGGAAACCGAAGAGAGCTACACGCAGGAGCTGATGGTGTCAGAACAGAAGTTGACCGAATGTCAGACAAGGCTGCACCAAGTCGAAGAACGAGCTAAACAGACAAGCACTGTCTACACGAGTAATAGGTTTGTATGTATATAAAATTAAATATACCGAGATCTTTTTAATTACCTGACCCCTTAGTAGATCGGTGGAATGTGTAAGGTAAAGCAACGTAAACACCTTGACATCCAGACGTACTGGACTTTTGCAGATTGTGACATGCTGATGCAGGCCGAGGCCCGTGTGACGGTAACCTGCGCAAGTTGCATCCTATTGCATATTATTTATCGTCATTTACAGCATCCGAGCCAACCAAGAAGTGGAAACTCTTCGTAATCAAATCAAGCTTCTGGAGAAGCAAAGGGAAGAAGTGCAAGGGAGATTGAGTGAAGCAGAAGACGCTAGGAGTCGTAGCGAAGCGGCGCTAACTAATCTGCAAGTCGTTTTAGAACAATTCCAATTAGGTAAGTTTCAGAAGCCATTAACGTCCTTGTTGTGATCTACGGAACCGAGACGTAGATGCATATGAGACGGCTGGTCCGAAAGTCTAAAAGTCGCTTAGTAAGCTATAACCGATAATCGTTGGGATAACGAAGAGTCCTGGAGTGGAGACCGTGGATTGGTTAAAGTAGTTTACAATTCCTCGTAACGAGGATTCTCTTTCTCTCTCATATATTGAAGTCGTCGTGGTCTAACGGATAAGACGTCCGGTGCATTCGTGTTGAAGCGATGCACCGGTGTTCGAATCCCGCAGGCGGGTACCAATTTTTCTAATGAAATACGTACTCAACAAATGTTCACGATTGACTTCCACGGTGAAGGAATAACATCGTGTAATAAAAATGAAACCCGCAAAATTATAATTTGCGTAATTACTGGTGGTAGGACCTCTTGTGAGTCCGCACGGGTAGGTACCACCGCCCCGCCTATTTCTGCCGTGAAGCAGTAATGCGTTTCGGTTTGAAGGGTGGGGCAGCCGTTGTGACTATACTGAGATCTTAGAACTATATCTCAAGGTGTGTGGCGCATTTACGTTGTAGATGTCTATGGGCTCCAGTAACCACTTAACATCAGGTGGGCTGTGAGCTCGTCCACACAGCTAAGCAATAAAAAAAAAATAAAAAAAAGAATGCTATACGTTCAGGAGTTGTTTTGAAATCGCCTTTTTTTCATGGACTCTAGCATTGTATATCTTTGGAGAGCGTCCTGTAGTCTGACACAATGTAAATGCCATCATTCATGTTGAGATATTAGGTGAAAATCATATCATCTTAATGTAACGCGAGAAATGATCACGAGAATATTTGGCTTTTTGAGATTAGCGTTGCCTTAAAATTATGGATTTTATTTTTTTAGCTGTTTTTAATTACATTCCCACTAAATATTGATTTGCAGATAAAGAACGAGACGTTCACGCGGCAACAGAGAAAATAAGAAACAAAATGGAAGAATTGAAACATAGAAATAACGACCTCCAAGACGAGATAGCAAGGCTCAATGCTAAGGTACAAGAGGCACTGGCCGGGCTACAAGCGGCCAGTAGACTTGGAGATCAAGTCGAAACCAAAACCGCGCAAATAAATGACTTGAAGGAACAAGGTTAGTTTGGTTTTGTTTTAGTTCTACTCTTATCTTTTAAATTAATAATAAAATCAATAGATATATTTTTTAGCTTTAAATTTTATTGTCTGTTCATCTGATTAGTTATCGATTGCCGTTATGTCACCTTTAACGTTGCCCATGAATATCAGCATTGCCAGGGTAACAGCTAATTCGTAGCCTGCCTTAACTAAAAAGCTTCGCTTTGAAATCCTCGTAACTTGTATTTCAATGGTGAAACAAGCTAAATAAGTGCCATATGTGCAACATTACAGTCTTAACAGTAGTGCGCTTTATCGAATGCCTCTATTCAATTTTACTGTTCATCGTAAAATAATGCGAACAACTTAAAAATTGTTATAAATTTCTACAGGTTGTCAAATTATTATTATCGACGCTTATTAGTAGTCACCATGGCAATGTTGTAGGTAATGAATAGTTGCAAAGTTTTAGATTTGCCAGTATTTTTTATTGTAGTAAGTACTGTAGTTGTATTAGTGTTGTTTAAGAACAAAGTATTGAAGTTACACTTCTTTTGGCACGTTGAAATTAATAGTGTGTTTTGTAGTTCTAGACTGTATACGCTATTTTAGCTTAACGTAATTCAGTGTCATATCTTATATTTAGCGGTTAAAGTTGCATTAAATAGGTCATTTTTACGTTTTTTACACATTTTTTTGGTTTTTTTCAATATCTTTGGCATTTCATTAATGGTCTTAAACAGTTTAAGCATGCCAGAGAAGTATTACTTCTAAATTATGCATATAAATATACAATCTCTTGGATATGTCTAGTTTGCCTTGTGTCTATTATAACTATGATAGACAATGTCTAAATTTTGAATCTTACATAAGAATGAATAGATTCGATCAATGGGTATCAGCAAGTTTTAACGAACGTTTCCCGACTAAATATCAGCTGGTAATTCTGGGCTTTATTAATCCCAGGCTATCAGCTGGTATACAGTTATGATACGTATTTCTGCATAGTAATAAAATCGAAAAACGCTTGACACACGTAAGTTGAATGTCAAATAAATGTTTGTGTACGTTGACGATCAGTCATCATGCTTTTAGAGTGTGTCCGTTTTGTTATAATTGATCCGATTTGTTTTAAAGCAGCGAGCTGTTTGTTTGTCTAGAATAGCTTGGCATTTACATGCTACAGCATGGATATTTGATAATTTTTTTTGTTTTTTTTTTTTGCTTTAGCCATATGCCAGTATTGATTTTTTTCCCCCGAAAACGTAGCAAGGGCTATAAACCCATTTTTACCAATAATTTCAAATAAATCTGCATTATAAATTAATATACAAAATCATCTACTCGTTTTTCGTAATTAATTCATTTAGTATAACAGAATTTATATTGTTATATTAAACAACAATAAATCTTGATATATGAAATCCTCCATAAATAAAGACAATGTTCTAGAATGCATTTGTAATTCGGATATTCTTTTTTGTTATCTTAACTGGATTGAATCAACTATGTACCCTCTGGTGTTCTCAGGCATAACACAGGCATTGAAAATAAAAATGCTTATACGTAATTTTGAACGTTATACAATTTAGTGACATTTTCTTTCAAGTATATTATCGCCATTATCACGAAGCCATGACTTAGTTGATTCAATGTGGCGTTAAAAAATACAGCTTTCGAATGCAGTACAATATTAATTTGAAGAGCCAAGCTTACGCCGGCTTCGATCTAATCTCATTTGGTAACTGTGAGGCTTTACACCGCGGCTGTGTACTGTCATCCGTACGTTTTACCACTTACCGTCGTACGATGGTAGATGGCGGTGCACACGTTTGCGCTACACTCAGATTACCATATGGGGTTTGATCGAGGCGATGGCTTTTCGTCGTGATGTCCGTTTTTTTTTTGCTTGTGTTTGTTTCGAAATTTTGCACTTGCAAGTCGTTCCTTGCACTTTTATTGTGTTTTGTAGTTTTGCTTTGGAAACATTTTGATTATTTCATTTACTTACAAAGATTAATGTAAATCAAAATATGGAAGTGGTTGAAACCGCGTGCTGTTCCTGTCGCTGTTGGCGTTCAGTTTAGATTTTTTATTTTTCCTACCTGAGCTGATTAGCCTTGAGAGGCTATATCAGCGGAACCTTAACTAGTTAGTGAGCTCACGGGGCTCAAACCTGATGACTAAGTTTAGATGGATAGCACACTATTTATCCTAAAAATATGCGGCTAAAAGCCATCTTAATTTGTAACGAAATCTTCAAGTGCTCATATATCATAACTTTAGCCAAAACTGGATATTTAACCAAGGCTGTTGATTTTATTGCAGACTACATCAATTAACTGCCTAACTAAATCTCATAGCATAGATGTATAGTATCGTCTATGTATGTATCAAATAGGGTCTTTTCAACTTGACTAATAATTTAATCAATGAAAATGATTTCCAATGCAAAATGAATCGTTGCCCAAGATTTACTGTTTGTTTTGATTGTTTCGTTGTTGTTCATTTTCATTCTTAAATAGAAACGTAGAAGCCAGAAGAATTCACAGAGCCGTATTGTTTCTGAGTATTACTTCAGGTACTGGTTGTATTAAATAAAAAACGGAATAAGTTATTAACACAGCCTAATAAAGATATTACGGATTTACGAAATCTCGCTTTTTTCAACGGGATTTAAGTATGAGTAATGTCAAAATAAAGCATCTAATTTTACTCATAGTACAATGATGGTCGTATGTTGTCTATGCAAATAAAACGATACCGCGTGCGTGTATTTAACGCGTTCAAAAGTGGGCACGCACCGGTTGTTTCGAGTTTATTAAAGCTCTATATGACGTCCAAGCACGCCAATAATAACTGATTAATAGTCTTTTGACATTCTCAACGAAATAATGAGGGTTGACGTAAAAACCGGTGCTTGTTCGTTAGTAAAAAAAAATAAAAAGTTTTGTCTTAACGAGTTGTTTTTGACAAATTTGAAGAATATCAAATTATTTGCGTATATCTCGATGACATAATGAAGTACTCTAATGTTTTCGACATTACTAGTTTGGACATGCAACTCTGAGATCGTGCTCATTTTCAAGTCGTCTTTGAGTTTATGAACTGCTGTTATCCGTTCTTATCATAATAGTATAAGGTCTGTGTAATGACTTATCTGTACCCAGTGTCTGAATAATACTTTGAGATCGTACGGACTGCGCCTTCGTGTGAATGCCAACATGATAATATTCTGCATGGTAAGAGCTGATTTTTGTCATTTTTAGACATTGGTACTCCTGTTTTTGTTTATTTATCAACGTTAGCTTATAACAGATCCCTTATAAATACACTAGTTTTTAGTTTTGTGCAAATAAACTAGATTTTTTTTAGCACTGGACTTTCTAGAATTTATTGTTTTCGTTTTAGATAGCATATGTATGCAATTTATTACTATATCAAGTTGCGATATGTATTTGATAAGATTCAGACCATTTAAATTCAATCCGATAAGATATATTTTAAGTTCTGAAGATCGTTCTCATACACGAGATCGAATGAGAAGTCCGTGTGTGTTTTATTCATGAATATAATTTGTACATTTCGATTTAACCAGTCGCAACTCTCCAAGCGTCCGTAACAGCAGCCGAGGAGAGATATTATAATGCCATATCGAACCAGCAGGACAAGGTGGACAAGAATTTAGTCAAGAATATGGTCATCAATTATGTTTTGACACAGTCGAATAACACTGTCAACAAGTAAGTTAATATTATTGAAGTGCCATTTTTATTTTGATTCGTATAATAGCATTATGCAATAGGAGGTGGTCACGACCCTCTCAGTATTGAGGAAACCGAAGCAACAAGAAGAAAAATAGCATTGTTGTAATACCACAACAAAGTAAGAGTACATTGTAGTATTCAAGTAAAATACACAGTATTTCTGCCTTTGGTGCTATCGTTGAACCTCAAGAGCGCAACTACCAATCCACTTGTAGTTGTAACTTAGGCTACCAAAGATTCGGTAGGGGGGAAAAGAAAAAAAGGTACCTGAAACGACCACAGTACTCCTACAAATGTACTGATCTCAGTTGTATTAATCACGCTCCAGGATCCAGGTGCTCAGGGTGCTCTCGACGATACTAGACTTCAATCAGCAGGAATGCGAGAAGCTAGGCCTGGTGAAGACGAACTCTGCGACCGATAGCTTAGCGGCGGAGTTCGTCAAGTTCCTCCAGAACGAGTCCAAGCCGAGGTCCCCGCTGCCGAACATGATGGGGATAGCGCAGAGCAGCAGGAGTACCACGCCTACTTCTAGGAAAAGCTCTACGATCGGTATGTGATCTCTTTTTAACTATCCAAGCTTCCCCCCCTTTTATGTACCCACATATCACATATTTCTGCTTCGAAACACGAGATTTCATTTTTTTTTATTGCTTAGGTCCACACATCTACACACCCCACAGCCCACCTGGTGTCAAGTGAATACTGGATCCCATAGAAATATATGACGCAAATGCGCCACCCACCTCGAGACATAAGTTCTAAGGTCTCAAGTATAGTTACAACGGCTGCCCCGCCCTTCAAACCGAAACGCATTACTGCTTCACAGCAGAAATAGGCAGGGCGGTGGTACGTACCCGCGCGGACTCACATAAGGTCCTACCACCAGTAAAACTTCGTTAACGGTTATAATCTCGCATTTTTATACTGTCATCATATTATGTCCGACGTTCAGAGTACTTGACAGTTTCCATGGTCACGGATGACTGTCGTCTGCGATTGATGAAGACCGAAGAAAATACTAGCTTCGTTCTCTTTGATGATTCCAGGACCGCATCCGACCTTCGAGACGGGACACAAACGGAATCCATCGAACGGCTCCAACAACCTGCTCTTCCAGAATCTGGACGCTTTAGAGACGGCGTCGGTGATATCGCGAGACTCTGAACCCGAACCCAGGGCTGCGCCTCCCCTCGACACCGGCGTCAACCAGACCCGCAACACTGAGGGTTCGATACTGAAATACGTTTTGAAAGATATGTGATGAATGGTAAGTAATAATGGTGATGCGTAACAAATAACAGGTATCGTGTGATATCGACTGTGAAATAATAGCAGCAGCTACTGGATTCGCGTTTTGTTTTGTTAGACTTAATTATTCGGGCGGACTCATAGTCTAGGATGCATCGATCGTCCGACCTCACAGACATTATTGAGACATGGTATTGAAGTCTATTTATCGTGTATCGGCTGTCCCACCCTACGGCTAGTATTGAGTAAGGTGTAACACCAAGTAATATTAATATTGTACGATAATGTAAAATATGTGTGTATTTATTGTCTTAGCAAATGCACTTTTGTTTTCGATTGTCCAAGTATCAGTCTGACGTCACAGTACGTACAGTCGCGTGCAAAATTATACTCTATTCCAATTACGAGGTCCCTTTTGACACTTCTTAGAATGTAACTCTTCAGGTTTCGCATTAATTTGAAATAATAATCATTTTTTGTTAATGATCGTAAACATGATTTAAAAAATACACAATCAATCTAAATCATTATACAATTAATTCACACACACAATAACATAATAATAACATCTCGTCTTCTCGCATTAAAACTGTATAATCTCAAAACTTACTAATTTTACAGGAGAGTATAAGGAGAGGTATAACATGTGATATTTTTAATAATAATCATCTTTGCAACATTATTTTTTTGATTTTTTAACAGTTACATTATCTGTCTTTTAAAGTAAGATAAAATTATGTATTAATTTTGTTAATAGAAGTCAAAACATAGGTAAACTAAAAAAAAGTAAACTATGCTCTTTTGACTGTATTTATGAGAAAAATACTGGTGATACTAAACGATTCCGCATACTAACTCAATTTCGAATATTTTATGGAAATTGTACACTTTTAATGCGGAAAGACGATCTGTCAAATAAGTCTTCGTAATTGGAATAGAGTATAATTGAGATTTTAGTTGTATCAGATCGATGATTAGTTTTTTTTTAAGCTTTGTAATTTGTTTAATTTTTTTTATGAAAATTGCATTTTTTTACGGACTGCAATAGCAAACTTAAAGAATTTTTTGTGAAAAGAAATTTCGAGTTGTGTTGGAGCTTGGTACAGTTGTTGTTCACACTCCAGACTTGTCTTAGTACCACCACCACAGTGATGACAGATGGTTTCTTAATGTCACCACCACAGTGGGATGGGTGGGGCAACCTTTAACAAATGCCCACTCATTCCTATTAGCCTTTGCTGAGGTATAGGGCTTGAATCAAATTCTTTTATTTTGGCAACAGTCAAATTAGAAATTAAAAAATCAATAGTAATTATTCAGCGTCTGTACACACAATCCAATCATTATTATTGTAGTTCAAAAAAATAGTGCCTATAACAGTTGAGCAATTAATGTAAATAATAAATCTAAATGCTGTGTAAAATCTGTAATATTGTTAAATAGTTAAAAACGTTAATAAATTGCATCTTATTACCTTTGTAAATATATATTTTAGTTTCTGTACAATATGTTGGTTTTTTTTGTTCGCCTTAACTATATGTATCTTTATTTAATAAATAAATCTTAATAAATCTTATGGTTAGTTAAAGATGCAAATAATCAGTGGAATGATCTAGTGCTTTATCAAAGTTTGTGATATTAAAACGATTTAATTCTGCACTTTTAATTACTAGTTCACAATGAATTGACATCTGAATGAACACGATCATAAACTGACTTTTGATTCGTAGGTTAGATTTAATAAAATAAAATAATGTGTCTACATATACTTTACTCCAGGGGTCGGCAACGCGGCGCCCCCGTTCGATTTTTATTGCGCCCTCCAAGGACGGATCCAGCTTTGGCGCCAGGAGGGGGTCACGTAGTCAAATTCAGATGCGTTCGTTCCCAAACGTTTGCCATTATACAAAGTTATTATATTATATTAAATTAATTAAATATTGAAGGTATGTAGTTACATAAAATCTGTATGGTGACAAAATATATAAATAAAATCATTATATTCAATTAGTGGTCGACCTAAGTCCTGGACCCAGCTCAGGGGGTGGTCATGACCCCCATGACCCTCCCCCTGGATCCGCCATTGGCGCCCTCGCTGGACTAATGCAAATGTCTAATGGACTAATGCCTGAGCGATTTACTTACTCTTGTCAAACTGCGATATACAGCAAGTAGCCAGTTGAGTTTAGGATTGTGCATAGATTAGCAGTTTGCTAACCTTGAGCCTATCTAATAACACGCACGTATTTTTTGTTAGTGTATGATCATATTTCGAATAGACCACGCGTAGCCGTGCATTTAAAACTACTACTACACATTTAGATAATTGTTTAAGGACCGGGAACTCTAAATATATCCCCAATTATAAGAAATTTGCTGAAAATATGGGGACACCCAAGTTTCACACTGAATCATTATGTATGACACCAACAAAATAAAGTTATTAAAAATCTGCTTTTTTTTATGCCTATTTATACCTCTTGATTATCTGTAAAATATGCGCCCTCGGTGATTTTTAAATTTAGCATTGCGCCCTTAAGGACAAACAGGTTGCCGACCCCTGCTTTACACTTTTAGTTGTAGTTCAAAAAAGTAAACTATATTTGCCTAATTAATATCTAATTTAATCATAGTTATACAAGACATAGCCATATTTGAAGTATTAGACATTTAAATTGTAGACTAATATATATAGGTAATATTAATAGTGATTCTTGTTGTCTTCAAAGACACGAGCTGGTGGTGAGTGGTCACTGTCGCATATGGAAGTTGGGAAGCCACATGGTGGGGGGACTCATTGTAGAGCTGGAGGGTCGTATTGTGGTTGGTCGTCATGGTTCGAGGTAGACGGTGCGATAGTAAAGATCAGATGAAGGGATTGTTTTTTTTAATGCTTAAATGGGTGGACGACCTCACAGCCCACCTGGTTTGAAGTGGTTATTAGAACCCATAGACGTCTACAAAGTAAATGCGCCACCCACCTTGAGATATAAGTTCTAAGGTTTCAATTATAGTTACAACGGCTGCCTCGCCCTTCAAACCGAAATGCATTACTGCTTCACGGCAGAAATAGGCGGGGTGGTGGTTGTCTTGAGCATATCGAGGGGTGAAAGCCTAATTGGTTTAAGGGACATTTCCCTTAACACGCGACATTTATTATTTCAATTAAAGATCCGTTGTATTTGTTATTAGCATCAACAGTTCGATGTTTTGAATTGAACTTCAATAATGTCTAACTACATTCGTATAGGTGAAGAAGTTTTTTTGTTATGGTTTTTTTTTTCTTCGGAATTTTAACATTTAAATAGCTCTCCTGTAAAGTTGCAAAAATGTCGCCTAAATCAAATTTCCTTTCACCCATCGCTATGTTCACGACGTATCTCAAATTGGAGGTCCCCGCCATCCAGCTCGAATGTTTTGCATCAAGAGCCCCGTTATTTCGGGACATTAAGTGGAAACATGTCCGCGATGGATATAGATCATAAGTTATACAAACAATTTCTCTAATATCATTCTCCATAAAAATACAAATCCGTTTGTATGTACCCGCATTTTACTCTTAATGCTAACTTGTTAATTCCTCATTCCAATGTTATTGGTATTTTGATAAAAAACTATCAGTGAGCTTAGTGCGAGTTATTTAATGTTCTCGATAGCGTAAAAGTTAACTCTCATTTGTATGCAGTTGGAAAAGCGCCCCTAGCGGCAAACGTAGCAAACGTTCTAACTCCATACAAATTTGAGTTAACTTTTACGCTATCGAGAACGTTTAATAACTCGCACTAAGCACAGAGAAGGTGCGAACTTGCGCTTTTCATATGAAAGAATACATACCTAGACAAAAAAGTTACAGTATAACACATACAATAAGGTTCAGTGTTTGTCAAAGTTTGTTAAAATGTTTACGACAAATATAATAATTAACAAAAACTACATATTACAAATTTAGACAAGAAGAACCCACCTTCCAATTAATTTCTTGAAAATATTTAAAATTATAACTCTGTCAAAATATCATTAATGTAGATAAAACATTGTACATTTTGTAATTACGGTATGCGTTAGTTATCTTATTGTGATTTATAATTTAGTTATAAATAAAAAATATTTGTATTTCAATATATCGTTGTTTAATTAATTACCTAATTATACCCTCTGCCATTAGGACAGTACATCGTTAGGTTTTAAGATTTGGGAAATATGAGGCTATCATCGCAAAAGTGGCCTAACCCGCAAATTTTTATATCCAAGCTTATATGACGTACATTGGAATTTATTTAAAATATAAATAATTTTGATACAAATCCGGCCTATCCATAGTTTCACCCATAGATAACAGATAGCTTTTTAAACATTATTCTTGCGCATTTTTTTTTTGCCAACTCAAATTCAAATTCATGAAAATTAAAACCTATTTTTTTATTTATTGCTTTTATGGGTGGACGAGCTCACAGCCCACCCGGTGTTAAGCGGTTACTGGAGCCCATAGACATCTACAACGTAAATGCGCCACCCACCATGAGATATAAGTTCTAAGGTCTCAGTATAGTTACAACGGCTACCCCACCCTTCGAACCGAAACGCATTACTGCTTCACGGCGGAAATAGGCGGGGTGGTGGTACCTACCCGTGCGGACTCCCAAGAGGTCCTACCACCAGTGATTACGCAAATTATAATTTTGCGGGTTTGATTTTTATTACACGATGTTATTCCTTCACCGTGGAAGTCAATCGTGAACATTTCTTGAGTACGTATTTCATTAGAAAAATTGGTACCCGCCTGCGGGATTCGAACACCGGTGCATCGCTACACACGAATGCACCGGACGTCTTATCCTTTAGGCCACGACGACTTCGACTATTTTTGTGATATTAACTATTATATTTCTTAATTTGATGAAGGAAACTCTACTAACTGTAACATAGTTTCACATCAAAAGTAATCAGATACATATGATTTGATATGTGGTGAATCGTTGTGTGTGTGCAAGATTAACTTGTCGTTTATTTGGCCTCTAATGACATCACAGTTGCTAAGATTTTTGTTCAACGTTGTATCGTGGAGTTCGCATGGCTTTTTGTAGAAACAGATTAATTGGATACCCGGGTGAATGAGCTCACGACTCATTTTAACTGGTCACCAGTGTGCTTAGTTCGAGTTTCTTAACGTTCTCGATAGCGTAAAAGTTAACCCAATTCTGTATGCAGTTGGAACAGCGCCCCTAGCGGCAAACTTACGCAAACGATCCCGTTTCATACAAATATGAGTTAACTTTTACGCTATCGAGAACGTTAAAAAACTCGCACTAAGCGCACAGAACCCGCAGTCAGAGCCACATGAATGCACCGATGACACTTAAGATAGAAGTTGCCTCTATATTGTATAACAGTTGTTTCTCCCTTCAAACCGCAACGCTTAACTGCTTCGCGACCCAAATATCCAGGATCGCGATGCCAACTCGGACTTCAATGCGCTCTATTCCTGACAGCCTATCCGAGTTCCTAATAGGTACTTTAGCATCAATTATTGAAGATATTTCTAGTTGATGTTGAGACGACTATTAATTAGGATGCTAATAGACAAAAGTCTTCAAAGCTTGCGTGCTGCCGGTCATGACATATGGCGCTGAAACGTGGACATTGACCGTAGGTCTGGTCCGCAAGTTCAAAGTCGCTCAGCGTGCTATGGAAAGGGGTATGCTCGGAGTTTATTTGATGGATCGAGTCAGAAATGAGGAAATCCGTCAAGAACCAAAGTAACCGACATAGCCCTAAAGATTAGCAAGCTGAAATGGCAATGGGCCGGACATACGTGTCGCAGAACCGATAGCCGATGGAGCAGACGCGTTCTGGACTGGAGACCACGTACAGGTAAGCACACCGTTGGGCGTCCCCTGCCCGGTGGACCGATGACTTGCGGCGATATGCTAGGATAAGATTGGACGCGGAAGGCGGAGGATCGTTNAGTAACCGACATAGCCCTAAAGATTAGCAAGCTGAAATGGCAATGGGCCGGACATACGTGTCGCAGAACCGATAGCCGATGGAGCAGACGCGTTCTGGACTGGAGACCACGTACAGGTAAGCACACCGTTGGGCGTCCCCTGCCCGGTGGACCGATGACTTGCGGCGATATGCTAGGATAAGATTGGACGCGGAAGGCGGAGGATCGTTTATTGTGGCAAACTATGGGAGAGTCCTACATCCAGCAAGGGAGAGATACAGACTAATGATGATGACTAATTAGGATGAGCTTTTTATATCTAAATGAGCACAAGAGTAGCCTGATTGTTCATCGTCGCGCAGGAAGTCAGCAACTCCAGCAGCATAGCACAGCCAATCCATCACTCCATAGGTATTCTGAGCATATTTTTCCGAACCAAGTAATACTTGCATTTAGGTGCGGCACGAGCTGCAACCGAAAATCAATTACTTAAATGTAAAACTATTGAAGTATTTTACATCGGACGTCACGACGATACGATTTTTCAATCTCGGCGACTTAAATATTCATAACAACAATGTAGAACCAACATAAAAAAAAACAGATTTATGTCAATGTCAAAAGATGACACTTACCTTTTTTCTTCTTTTAAAAGCAACAACGTGTTTTTTACCGGCATTAAATTTGTGGAGAAACTAATGAAAGCGTACCTATTATTTCGAGAGACGTATTCAATACATCTAGACCGTATCCAGAACTGTACCTAGAATCTAGAATATAATAATATGGTTGTGGTGGAAATAAAATAATCTATATCTATACTAATATATAAATCTACAGTGGTTTTTACGGATGTTCCGTTATAACTACTGAACCGTGCATCCGATTGACTTGAAACTTGGTATCCATGTAGAAAATACATGTACTTATTTGATAGGCTAATATTTATATGAGTGTTAGACTCCCTACACCAGTTGCGGGGGCGTTATTGAATTAATGATCAGAATCTTTGTGGGGGTGAGAAATAATAATGTTAATTCTAAATGCCCAGCGAAGCGGACGGGTACAGCTAGTTATACACAAAATAGACGACAAATGAACTAACCGACCGTACAATAGTCAAATCGTTTTTTTTTTTTATATTTCTCTATCGTATCGGCTTCGTACAGTATAAATTGCTTTTGTGGCAACACGGTACTTTCAGACACTCCTTAATTACAATAATTTTGCTTAGATTTCCCGAATCCGAAACAGAAAAAGGGTAATAATGATATTTATTACAAAATCGATTTTTTAATTGTTCAAAGAAAGCCTGAAGTGATGTATGAATAAGAAATTGGCATCAACCAGCAGAGCACAGTAAATCCACTGCCTACTTTAAGAGGCTTCAAATCTATTTTGAATAGAACACATCATAACCCTGATCTTTCCTGAGAGAAACACAAGGAAAGAAGTTCATTACACACTAGGTAAAATTATAACTTTAAGGAAAATCCTTATGAACTAAAATATATCTATAACTTTGACTCTTCTATCTTCCATATAGTTATACTACCAGTTAAACATCTCACATGAGATTCTGAACGCAATTCTGCCTTAATAAAAATAAAAAATAAACTAAATCACATCACCCCCAGCGTGATTAACTGCCCGTGAATTTTCCGCCCTCCACCCCCTTTCTTGGAGCACTGGTCAGTACAAATCCACCGCCTCTGTAGGTAGTCGCCTTAGAAACTGAACGCAAAACAAAAATAAACAAAATTTGCGCGTTACGAAATTCGCGAATTTACAATTTACATGTTATTTCTTGGTGTGTGCGTTTAAAATGATAAGTGTTAGTTTTTTTTTTTTAAAACAGTGATGAACATTCTACAATGCCCCAGTTAATTAATAGCCTTGACGTGTCTAAATCAAGTTTATCGCAAAACAGTTTAAGGGGACATTAATTTGTCGAGAGCCATGTTTTTTTACTTTTGACGTTCGTTCTTTTTTTTTTTTGAAAATGACATTTGTCATAAAGAAATTTGGCGCGAGAAAAACAATAATGGAGGATATATTCTCGGTTATCTTTTATTTGTTCAAAATTAAATTGAAATGACGAACGAAGAACGATAAATAAATGAACATCAGCGAAAATGTGAACTTGTGGTTTGGATATTGTGATTTTTCGGAGACTTTTTGTGTGTGGTTGGATTGAATATTTAGGTTTGTATTTTGTTTTTAAATATATTTGGCGAAAAGCAAAGGGCAAAAGCACATTGTTTACTTTAATAATATCATTGTAAAAATATTGCTCTCTTGTTGATTGTTACAAAACTATCTTAGGTACGTGAAATACAGTTAAATCATTATTTGTCCCTATCAGACGCTCACTATCAAGTGATGAATACCTACAAATTGTAATTAAGGTATATATGACACAAATTGAAGTAATGTTGTCGTATTTTGTTTTTTGCATATGTGTGTTGTACATACCTATGGTACAAACCTACATATATATACTGTCTCTTACAGTAAAATATATAGATCAAAGAGCTCTATTGAACAAACCACTCTGGCTACAGTGCATTTCGCAATATTAATAAAAATTAAATGGTATCATAACAATTACATCGCACCCGTCAACAGTGCCATTAACCGGTTCAACAGCTAACACGCTGAGTCAACCGCAGTACACGCTAAGACAAAAGCTCTACTCAAAAAACGCCAAAAAACGTCCACGCTTTGCGAATCATTACACGCTAAGATAAATCTTATGAGGTTGAATTTGATGTTTTTATTTATTGCATATATGGGTGGACGAGCTCACAGCCCACCTGGTGTTAAGTGGCTACCGGAGCCCATAGACATCTACAACGTAAATGACGCCACCCACCTTGAGATATGAGTTCTAAGGTCTCAGTATAGTCACAACGGCTGTCCCGCCCTTCAAATCGAAACACATTACTGCTTCACGGCAGAAATAGGCAGGGTGGTGGTACCTACCCGTGCGGACTCACAAGAGCTATGAATGTGGAAGGATATAGAGGAAGAGGTAGACCTAAGAAGAAATGGATGGATTGCGTGAAAGACGATGTGGAAAGAGGGGAGTGAGCGAAGAAATGGTATATGATAGAAGAGTATGGCCTTCCATACTCTTCTATCGAAAACGTGTTGCGCCGACCCCAGGTGACTGGGAGAACGGCAGGATAATGATGATGATGATGAGGACACACATACATACATAGATTGATACCCATTATTTTAATCTAATCAAGGCTTACGACCTCATGTTAGAAGGATAATGCCGCCGTGCTGCTCTGTTGGAGAATATCGTTTTTAATGTTCAAAAGCAGCAAAAGACTAAAACACGTACAGCCAACACCACAAGAAAATAAATGAAAGCCCTAAAATGTGGGTCGCTCTGTCGTTTGTGTGGAACCTTGGAGATTGTCAATGTTAGCCCTTGAAGGACCGAAGCCTTGGCCACGTACGTAGGCGAACGTCGTGCGACATGTTGCCAGTTTATATAACAGTTGCTATTCCGCCTGACGTGAGCAATAGTGATGGGTTGTACTAGGTAAATCAGATACTAGGTCCACCTGTTCCTAAATTTTTGTTTTTTTATTTTTTTGTAATTGCTTATTGCTTAGATGAGTGCACGAGCTCACAGCCCGGTGTAATGTGGTTACTGGAGCCAATAGACATCTACGACGTAAACGTGCCACCCACCTTGAGATATAAGTTCTAAGGTCTCAGTATAGTTACAACGGCTGCCCCACCCTTCAAATCGAAACGCATTACTGCTTCACGGCAGAAATTGATGGGATGGCGGTCCCTACCCGTGTGGACTCACAAGAGATCCTACCACCAGTAATTACGCAAATTACAATTTTGCGGGTTTAATTTTTATTACACGATGTTATTCCTTCACCGTGGCAGTCAATCGTGAACATTTGTTAAGTACGTATTTCATTAGAAAAATTGCCTGCGGGATTCGAACATCGGTGCATCGCTCGATAAGAATGCACCGGACGTCATATCCTTTAGGCGACGACGACTTCTTACGAATTTTAAGAAATACCTAATCCACATAATCTTCCTAACCTCATTCACAACCAATACTTAACTTAGCAAGCAATCTCAATCTGCCTATTCCTAATCTCAAGTTTTGAGTTCGTTATTCTTTGATTAATGTGATCATTGGATAATTATTCGAATGATTAGGATTAAGCATTTAGGGATTGTGGGACACGTTGCAACGTGTAAGTGAGTATATAGTGCAGGAACAGATGGGAGCGTATTCTGAACATTCGATTTTATGTTTTAAGAATATGAAGATTAGGTGGAACAAATGGATTAAACACATTGACAAAATGGGATTAGGTGCAGTCTAATCTCGTAAAATACCTAATACTCGGGTCCGTTCTAATTAATCCGACTCATCTCTAGTGTGCCTTATAAGCAAATATGCTTTTAGAACGTAGAAATAAAGACTTGCGGGGAAAATGTTCGCGCTATCAAGTGTCTTTGCTCGATTAACGGATGTTCCTAACGCTGTTGTTCCTATATTGTATCGACGCAAGATATCATGAAAATATTGTTATAGTAATTTAAAAGATGGCGACTTCGTTACTTATGACGACATTCAAGGTCATACCAATGTGATTACAACAAGGCATAGACCAAATTAATACCAATAGACACATACGAAATAATTTAATTGTCATATCAATAACATTTTTTTTTTTGCTTAGATGGAGGGACGAACTCACCGCCGACCTGGTGTAAAATATTTACTGGAACCCATAGACATTTACAATGTAATTGGCACCACCTCGTTAAGACGTGATTCTTAAGGTTTTCATTATTATAGTACAACGGCTACCCCACCCCTCAAGCCGAAACACATTACTCGTGTGGACTCACAAGACGACCTACCACCAGTAATTACGCAAATTATTATTTTGCGGGTTTGATAAAAGATGTTATAAGATTTGAAGATTTTATAAGATGTTATTATACCTTCACCGTTCCAATCGTGAACATTTGTATAAGTACGTATTTCATTAGAAAAATTGGTGCCCGCCTGCGGGATTCGAACACCGGTGCATCGCTAGATACGAATGCACCGGACGTCTTATCCTTTAGGCCACGACGACTGCCCGGGCTGTTGAAAAGTCTTGAAAATTATAGGATTATTACGAAGTGATCAAAATGTACCAGAATCAATAATATTTTACAAAATAATCGCTTTAGTTGATTAAATGGGTTTTTTCCAGTTTAGTCGATTTTTTGTTTTCAAAATATCGATACTAGTGCAAAAACTTTATTAGAATGAACCTATAGTAAATTTATTGAAAAAAAAAAAACACAAGTGATTGGTCCGAAGATAGCTACCCCCTCGAAAACGCTATATCATTAATTTAATTCCGCGTAACGCAACATAATGATTAATGATCGTTCAATATGAAAGATTAACCTCAAAACTGAAGCGCTAGGAACATAGAAATATATCTGCAGAAATTATAATAGAACATTACATATGTATCCCATATCCATAATATAGATTTGCGAATAAATTCACTGCTCCATTATTGTCCCACGAATATTGGACTCAATGAAATCGTTTTTTTTTCACGTTTTTTTTTATTGCTTACATGTGTGGACGAGCTCACAGCCCACCTGGTGTTAAGTGGTTACTGGAGCCCATAGACATCTACAACGTAAATGCGCCACCCACCTTGAGATATAAGTTCTAAGGTCTCAGTATAGTTACAACGGCTACCCCACCCTTTAAACGGAAATGCATACTGCTTCACGGCTGAAATAGGCCGGGTGATGGTACCTACCCGTGCGGACTCACAAGAGGTCCTACCACCAGAAATAGAATAGAAACCACGTATAGAAAACCTCCCCTTTGTGTTGATTGGGTACCGCAGGATTTAGATTCCCCTGCACTCTTGCCTGACGCCCGATCCTCGACGACACCTGGTCCACGCACCAGGTCCGATCAACAGCCAGACTTGTGTCTTGTCCTTGAAGCAATAGTCGAAGCAATATCTACCCTGACCTTCTCGGTACGCCAGTCTGTGAAGCCATCCCAGGTAGTACTGGTGCTCCAGAATATCCCACTGGAGTAGACAGGTCGCCAATCGATTGCTCTATCACAGTAATTAAGGAAATGGACCTGCCGCGTATAGCGTGCTAGAGTGATGAAAATCGGTATTCGCCTGAGGGTTTGAACATAAAAATCGCATTGCTACGTCTCAGCTTATCCTTAGGCCATCAGTCTTAGGCAATCTTGTCTTCCTTTGCAAAGATCTCGATTTTTATACCTTAACGATACTTGGAATTAACGTAAATCAACTAAATAACCGATATTGCAATGTGTCGATATGACACACATCCCTACCGCTTTAGTGTTAGTGCCGTACCATTCCTCATCGACCGCTTTTATCGATTTCAATATCTCGCTAGATCTCAGCTCTAATATTGTAATATTGAACATGATTTCGCTTGCCACTTCGTCTCGTATTACACTGAAAATAAACCATTCTGATTTTTTTATTTATAAATATCCTGTCAATCAGTCACGGTAGGGTTGTTTTATATCGTGTTGCAAATGATGTGACAATAAAAACCAGCAGCGTAACGACAAGTTCTTTTATTTGTGCAAGAATGCAGAAAAGTAGGTAGAAATGGCTGGCACGGCTTGTTTTATTAACACTATCCCCCCTTCGTTGGCTTTGGCTGGCGGCGGTGGCGGTGGCTGTGGCGGAAGGGGGCGTGTTAATATGGCTTGGCGGCTTGGCTGGCGGCAGGGCATGACAGCTGACGTCACGTCCGTTACATTCGGCCATCCTGCAACAATTGCTCCCGCAATGGGGAACACACAAAAACATTTAGTTCTCAAATAAATCAATAAGGTCTTCAGTTTCGAGCTGCTCATCGGAACTACTAGCGCTATCGGACACATGGGCTATACTTTTATAGGGCTTTAATGAATCTGTTGATACCAGGCCAGTGAAGTTTTTATAACTTCGTAAACCTTTTAGATATACTTCTAATTCGATAACAATTGTTACCTACTACTTTAGTTACTACATACGGACCTGAGTATAAATCGTCTAATTTGGTATTAATCCTAGCGGCGCTACTAACCAGTTGGCGCCTGTCTCTACGATACAAAATGCCTTTTCTTATAAACATGAGCTTTTTTTTTA